GTTGTTAACACACTTTTTCAACTACTCATTGCACCAGCAAATATGACACACAAATTGGAGCGTGACCAGCAAACATCCTACCAGAACCTACACGTGGAGCTGGTGTGGTGGAAGGATTGAACCAACAGGCAGTGATGCAGCAGCACTCACATGACAGATGTTGAGACAGAACAATTTTTATCTTTTTAATGCCAAAATTGGAACGTGCACTTGGTTTATGATGTGATGGGAGTGTTAGTGTGCACGCTCGATTGTAGCTCCAGTTGCCTCCAGTTGCTTCCATCTGATTCTACTACTTATAGATTTTTGTGTACTCGAATAACACCAAATAAAACAATAACAAAACTAATCGTTTCACATTCATACATTTCTTAAATTAAACACTTTCAAAAGAAACACGTTCATTTCAACAGAAAAGGTGAACAGGCTCCAGGCTGACATTTTCCAGTGATATAAGGACTGTCACAGACTAGGCGTGTCACATTAGGAATGTAACCGCCTCAGATTCTCCTGTGCTGCTGCGAATCTTTCTGCAAGCCTAATCTTTAACAAACAAATCACTGGTTGTGGAATTATTTTCTTTCATATGAAATATTCCTGTGCAAACCTCAACTGAATGCAGACTCCCTCGGCTGGAACTCCTTCAGAGTACACAAATGTAATCTATATCACTTTACCGGCATGATTTCTGGACGATTAGTGCGGTGCTGGCAGAATTGACAGTTCCACTACGACTTCAATTCCTGTAAATTTCTAGGAAACTTAGATGTGAAGTGTTTTGCAACCTGACGTTTTGCATGTGAACTAGTAGTGCTTACCTATGTTGAGGGTGAAGGAGGCTTCCATGGTGTTGAACTGATGTATCTTGCTCTGCATGAGGCTGGCACGGTTGCAGCGCATGGGTGGCATTGTCTGAGACTTTCCACCTGACGAGAACAGCTTCGACACACACGCCTCCTGGCTCCTATATCGATAATAACAAGAGCAAGAAGGAAGGAGGAAGAGGAATAACATAAGAACCTGTTCCTGTAACTCTCACTGAGCTGGATGTATTACGATATATAACAAATATGTTAATACCTGATAATTAATAAAAAATCGACACAAGCTGATTAATACCAAACAGAACATTTTAATACATTTAAAAAAAGAGGAGTAAAGGTGTATTTCATTGGAACATACCCACATGACCTGGCACCTTGCTTCCTTAAAACTCAACTAAATTTAGTTGGGTTTCAAATTTCAGGCGCTGACAGATAAGGTAAATATGACACATAATACAAAGGCGCAGCTTTGTTTTCCAGCCTTACCTGCCGATGTTCCTCTTTCCAATGTAACGGAACTGAGCCAGACAGACCCTGCAGAGAAAACATGAAGCACGAGGCGCCTTTTGCATCCACTTAGAATGTTGACACAAGACTGATAGAGCAGTTAATAGTTTTGTTTAATATTTACATATGGGTGTTGTTTCATTAGCTACTCACTCGAGCAAACTGAGGAAGTTCATGATGTCTTGAGGGCTGATTTTGTTCCAGTAGGCCATCAGAGTGTCTGTGGACAAAAAGTGGACACACTTGGGCTACGTTCACACTGCAGGTCTTAATGCTCAATTCCGATTTTTTGATCAAATCCGATTTTTTTGTCTGCTCGTTCACACTACAAATAAAATGCGACAGCAAACGCGCTCCAGTGTGAACGCTCAAAGCGGCCCGCATGCGCAAAGGAAGACATCACACACAACGCGCTCTGTTTAGATCCAGAGCAAACAGTATTGTTTGACTGATGGCCGTTAATATAAAGACTTCGGACTTCACATTTCCCAATTTTTGCTTTAAGTTATTTTGTTATTTACATAATAATGTA